TGAGTGTCACTTATTGACGAAGACTGCCAATAAGTTGACACGAGACTGCTGCATTAGCCCGCCTCCCCGTCCCCAATAACCCAACAACAACAGAGAGGCGGACTTGGAAAACGAGAAGCAGAGTGCTTTAATGTCATCAACCTATGTACAGCCGACTCACAGTGTCTGTGTAGGATGCGGATGAGGGCAGTGGTTGTGGTTCATGGGGCAGCCCGGAGAAGATTGAGGCAGGACGTCGCATACATTCCAGGGTCACAGCTCACGCCGCAGTTGGAGTGAAACAGAGACGCAGAGAAGGGCTAGGGAGGTCGTGCGTTAGACAAATTGACCGAGAGACGGATGGGTGGGTGGGTCGGTAGACGGAGAGATAAACAGCCAGGCCTGTAGGTCAATAAAAAAGCCATAACAAAGCACATTTCCCAACCACCGCATGCCTGCCTACCTGCCCGTATGTCCACCTAAACCCTTACTAGCCAAGTAACCAAACAATCGTACTGGCCAAAAAGTGTGTAAATAAATAAATAAAGAAACAAATCCTAATGCTTGCCAGCATATGAAAATGTGAACGGGATTAAAACCGAACCAATCTCTCTCACCGCAACTCATCAATCAACTCTCAGCCGCTCCCCAAAACAAATAATATCAGTTGTAGTAGTAACAAAGTCAAGACCAATGACTTTCTCACTGAAGAGAGGGAGTGAGGGCTAAGGTGACACAGAGACTACTACATCAAGATAGTAGGGGAAGCGAACACGCTAAGGCGATTCGTGTGCCGTCTACATGGCACTCGGCATGAAGCTGCCCATCCCTTGGAGGCAGTCGTGCCAAGAAACTTCTTCTTCTTCTTCTGATAACAACAGATGCATACGGTTCGATCCGTCACACGAAGAGCACTAAACACAGTCAGATTCACACAAACAAGTGTCACTTGTGCACTCGCTGCTCCTTCCTCTACCAACAGCATCACGTAAGCTGACAAAGGAACTGACAAAATTGTCCGGCATACAGTCGCACCACGCCTAAATTACCAAACAAGTTACAAGAAGAGGAAGGATTGTTCGGAGGTAAGAAATATATTTCAACATAGACAGTTACGAAGGTTTTGACGCAACTTGCCGCATCACAATCAATCAACATCTACTGTGCTTCATTCATCGGTGGCAGTGGCTCCAGCATAGTTTGAATTAAGGATCCCAACAACGCCAACAACAGCAACAACAAATCCCACTCGTAACCATTAAGGATACTACGCACATACGCACTGCAACCAGTCACACAACCTTTCCCCATTCACTAGCTAGGACAACAACAATGCTGCAAGTATTAAGCAAACGCACACCGGTTATTCCTTTCACCAAAAAAATGAACACAAGTGGCGTGGTGCATTACAAGAATCCATTAACTCAGACGATGTCACGAATGAATGCGAATGAGCACAAGAATCAGGACTGCCAACATTTACCAAGTACCTGTGCTGCGTGAGGGCACCTAGCCAACCAGCAGTGGCAGCGAAACATCGCCGGTGAGCATTTACGGAAACAAACGAGTGGACGGCGTAAGAAACGAGGAGGTAGGAAGTGGAGCCAATGAAGGTACAGTTAGTCTCAGGTCACCTGTGTACCAATCCCACACCATGAATCGCTAATATCTCATGTATACACAAAAAACCACACTTAACAGCCAGAGGGCATAGATCACCAAAGTAAATAATCTTAAAACATGTAATGTGTAATGCATTGTAGACGTACATACTTATATCACTGCGTACGATTGATTTGGCAGACTCGAAGACAATACAAGTAGCATGCTACACTGCTTGCGCGCATTTGTCTCCGTTTCCAGCGATAGAATTTCACATGCGATATCTGTACCAACAAATTCCAACCTGAAAAACATTCCCGTACCTGTGAAAACGGAATGAAATGTAGACAAAAGGCCCCAATCACGGTGAAGTTATGCGATAATCTTACCAGTCAAATCGGTGGATTAACACTTAATCTAATGTTAGCCCGAACGGCATGTTTGTATTTGCACAAATCGCGACTGTTGAGGTTGCAGAAGACGCCATTCGGCTCACCGACGGAGAAGAGTATATTCAAGTTCCTCCTTGGAATGATACTGAAGCTGTTTCCACGTCCGCAAATCACGCCACACACTACAAAAATGGATAGGATAAAAATTCTATAATACGACTGTCACGAAATAGTTGGAAAAGGCTTTGGGAAGAATGGTAATTGTGATCTCGCGTCAAAAATACATACATTGCAACATTAAGGCACGAAAGGTATAACAATAACTCACGAATTGAAACGCAGTCTTACCTGGAAACAGAACAGGGTAACAACATAGCTCAATTTCAAACGCAGTGTTTTTCAGATATCAGTCGAAGCCTATTAGATACATCTCAAAAAAGAAATAAAACCTTACCTGCTTAGGGTTTCGGATTATCACTAGCACCAACTAAAGCCACAAAACTTAAGAATTCTCCCTTTCCTGTCATCAAAAAGGGCCTTTCTAATCAAGATTTCAACGAAAATGCAAAGACCAAAACGCATTAAAAGCTACAAGCGAAATAATAAGAGGCAGCCAATCGGCTTCGAGGAAACAATTTAAACAAAATAAAATGCTAAATGAATATGAGGAAAACGAGACGAAACTAAGCTGTAGTTTTATTAGTATAAAGATCATTTAAAATTGAAAATTAAAAACTATTGTTTGTTAATCCTACACAAAGAGGAACACGCAGGTGACAATATGTTTGGGAATATTTGTTTCAAAGTACGTAAAGAGGGCTAATTATGCCGCCTTCTAACACCCTAATGTCAAATTTGGCAAAAGATGTCTGCTTATATTTGGCTCAGGTTGCCGAATGTCAGATTACCTAAAAAAGGCAACATTATAGGCATTTGTGGCAACCAAAGGAAAACAAACTAAATATAAGGTTTACTTAAACAGATTTGAGCCAATCAGAAGATCAAACAAATAAAAAGGACATATTAATGATGATTGGAGGGTATAAGAAGCCAAAAAACTACAATATAAGTGCAAGAAGTAGGGGAGAATGTAAAACTGATCGCACCATGAATAAATATGCGGACTCCGCAGAAGAAACCGAAACAAAAGGAAAATAAACTTGCTTATGAAGGTATACCTAAGCATTCCAGAAGAGGGCTAACTTACCCCAAGTGCGAGCAATATGTCCAGCATCGAGGCAACAGTGAGGTCAGGATACCAAATGAAGGGCATAACTGGCCCCAACGCAGGAGATTTCAAAGTCACAGTACGTGATATTAGAATACGAAGCAGGAAAAGAGTAGAGGGAAAGGTCAGGTAAACTAATAAAGGGCCTCCCTTCTACTGTAAGTTGCCTTACAACCCAAAAGCCCATCAATTTGGTTTTCTGCGTTGTTAAACTTCGCTCACGTACTCTCGGATTGTAGGAGCTTCTGCCCCACACATCCTTGTTAACCCAACCCTCTCTCGGGTAATCAACTAATCTTGACGCCGGACCCCTAGGCCTTGGACTCTTCATCCCCGTTGTTGCATTATTCCTAAGTGTGATGCGTAACCATTTGCAGACCTGTTGATATGACCGGCATTTCTTACAGGTCGTCATTGATTTCGATCATCCAAGAGTGACCAGTAAAAATTAAACCCACACTGCCGTAATTCTGTCTTCTACACAGACATGGTCGGTAGGTTCGCCCTCACCGTTGCTAGGTCAATGATAATTTTATTTATGCATTTGTTTTGCACAACTCAGTAATTTTGATGGCCGTCCAGAAGAATGAATTGTGTTTCCTCGGTTTAATCAAGCTATAATTCCCTCCCCTTTGATCTCCGGGTGTTCTCTTCTTTTCGGTCGCTTTCGGTTTGGCCACCAATGCAGCAAAGCATGAGGGTCTTCCCTTCAGGGATTTTTTGCCTCACTTGGCGGGTGATGCGGTTGTGCTTCTTGTGCAGAACTTTTTTTTCTAGGTCTATGAGCAAATCAACAGTAACCAAAAGGGCGCAAAATTTAGTAACATGACTTTTTTGCCTTGCCTTCTGTTGTCGCACTTTGAAATCACTCCCGTCTGTGTAATGTTAATGGTCATGGCCAATCAACTATCAGCCGTCGCCGCCGCCGCAGCTGGAGGGTAAAAGCGTGTGACAACGTGAATTCTCGTAGACACAGCGACTAAAGGGAGTAAGAGGGTGGGGGGAGAGAGGGAGAACACTCTGCGGCTTTGCACACGGCTGTGAGGCTTGTTAATTAATTATTTTATCCCGCCAAAATAAAGACAGACTTCAAAAAGGGAAATGCACACTAATAACACCGCCAAGTGGGGTAAACACTGCGTCTAAATTGAAGGACAGGGGGAGGCGGGGGGTTGAGAGAGAGAGAGAGAGAGAGAGAAATGTCAATCAGCTAGTAGCCGTCAGATCGACAATCCACCACTATGACTAAATGGAGAGCGAGGTTAAGGCCACAGCTTCATCCGTCTTAGCTAACCTATCTCACTAAACTAAGTCTAGACTGCACACCAGAAATAGCAAATCTAGTTAAGTGAAGAGGAGAAAAGAATCGCTTACATTAACTTGCGCCGCAAGCGCGTGGTTTTAAAGTGGTAGATGGGAGAGCAAAGCAAGCATTAGGTGAGACCGTGTGAAAGTGAAAGTAGACTAGCGGAAGAAAAGGGAGATCGGGCAGGCTAATTACCTCACAGGTAGCAGATTTGGCTATGGAGGAGATGACACCGCCAAGTATTGCTATCGCCTACTTTGGCCGATGTTGCCACCGATGTCGGTCAATTCAATGCTTCCAATCGTCATCACTTGGCCTACAATAAAGTAGTAAAATGACATAAAATGGAGGGCGGGGGGACTAAGCTGCTCTGCAAATGCGATTCTCCATACCTGTTAGAAGAAAAGGAAACACCTCCACAACTTGATGATGCGTGCGCCACGAAATGGAGGTGGAAGTGAGCGCGAATGCACAAGGCGTTGGTAAAAATGAGCAACTTTGGAGCTGAGGAAGGAGGTTTGAATGTGGGGCCACTGAGGGAAACACGCCCTCTCCCCTCCCCTCCCTCAGCAGTGACAGGCAGGAATGCGACTGCGCATTTCTGCCCACAATTCCACTACCTACAGTTGGTGGAGGATCACATCACACGCATCGTGTCACCACCAGTCGACTTTCGATCCATCTCCATGGAGAACGTCCCCACCACTAACAATATACTGCATAGCACATCTACGCGAGGTAGCAATCGCATGAGCTGGTGGACAGACACATGCCACTACATACACAACAATTAGTTAGAAGTCCTATGTTACATGGGCCAAAGCAGTTGACTTCTACACTCTGACACTTAAAATGCCGATAATGGCAAGTGGAAGGAAGTGGTGGAAACGGACAGAGAGAGGAAGGCAGGCTTTTATGTTGGCAAACAAGCAATGCTCCCCGCCCCACCCCTCTTCGGACACTGTAATGCTGCATCCACCATCCAACGCCTGCGGCAGCAAGCAGCAGTGCTTGCTTCATTTCATGGCCGCCTAAATTAGCCAAAAAAGCAGGCGGGATATAATATCTGTGGGAAGAAGGAGAGGAAGAAGAGGAGGCACCACGATGAGGCATTTGTGAGTGCATTTCCACCACATATCAGTTAGTTGTGGTGGCAATGCACAATACGCCTCCACTGCCATCCGGCTAAGCACGAAAGTAGGTGATGACAAATGGCAACAACAGTGCTGAATTGCATCAACCGGATTACTAAACGCACTGACTCTACTGCTGCCCTCACAGTCCACCACCTTTCAGCTCTCATCACCTTGGCCTACTATGTTTGAACCGAATGATCGTCCTTTCCTTCTCTCCTTCTTTCTTTCTCTCTTTCCTTCGGAGTGGTCCAGACCACGGTAGCAGTGGTAGTCGAGGGTATGGTTACGTTTGCCGAACAACGCGCCATGATCGTCGTCGCAGTGACAACGATGAGACAGCTTTGCCACAACTCTCGCCACATCTGTGCCGATGTGATGACAGGTGGGTGCAGTTGAAGAACAGCTTATACGATACCCTGCGACGTCGGCAAAGTTACTTTATGGCCAGCTACCTACGGGATGCGCTGACCATGTTTCTTATTTTTACTACTTGCGCTTCACAGGCAACAAGTTCTGGCAGCAAATTCGTCTCAATGAAGTCCTCTCACACGTACTCCTTAGAGTGATGTATTTGAGGGTATTGTCGAAGTGTAAATATGCGCGCCAAATAATCGGTGGAGGTAAAAATGAGCGGTTGGTCTCTCCTCTCATCCCCATGGCTACAAACACCCTCTATTTGTGCTTAATTTCGTGGTAGCAGCAGCAGCAGCTGCTGCCTGGAGCCTTACGCAAAAAAGTGGCTTCAAGAACGTCAACAGTGGATT